TAGGGTGCTCACCTCTCAAGAAAGCTACTGCTGGAGCAAAGACGCCTTGTCTCCCGAGGAGCAGGCTGTCCGTCGCCATCGCGAACTCCATGTAGACGTGGTCCACGTCCCCCAGCCTGCGCTGCTTCAGATTGCCGCGTCGCATGCCTTTGTCCATGCGCTGTTGCACTACCTCGAGGCGATGCTGCCGGGGCCGGCCTGGCCCAAACGCCTGCTGGCACTCCATCGGCTGCTCCATGATCCGCTTCGTGAGCTTCTGGCCACCGACCTTGAGCGCACCCTTGATGCCGACGCGTGGTGACGCCCAAGGGCCCTCCAGGTCCCACTCGAGCTTCACCATGTGCTTGATGCTGCTTGCGACCAGGCAGTAATCTATCAGGCGGTGGCCTCCAGGGTGATCTCCTGTTGGTGCCATCCAGCTGCCGTCGATATAATTTGAAATGTGCATCTGATCTACTTCTTCCATTCCCGTGCTCCAATCTGCCATGATGAGAAAGGGTAGGCCTCGAACATTGAGGTAAGTGGCCACTGCTGAAAGGACCTCGACATTAGGTCCTGCCAAGCCCACCCCACTGGCCAGGTACATCACAACGAAAATGGCATCGCCAACATCATGCATCCTGAGAATGATGGCCGCCCACAAGTCGATGTCCGTCTTTTTGTCGGGAAGCGTGCGCAAGTGTAGCTCTTTTCGCACCTGGGGCCAAGCGCCACCATGTCCTCTGCTTCCTTGTCCTGAGGTTGGCACTGCTGCAACCGACTTTGTTGCCCAGCCACATTTCGAGATATTCTTCTTCATCTCATTGAGCTTTTCCTTCATCAGGTCGTGCTCGGCGATGCCGACGACCGAGGCTTTGGCGAGCGCCTTGGTCTGATCCCGCAGGTAGGACACCCCCTTATCATTCCAGGACGTGACATTGGCGAAATAGAAGCTGAGCTCTTCTCGCCCCCCTTGGCGATCTGCGTCTCTGGCGGCACGCGCCCCCTGCCCGAGCCATCGCTCCCGGCCAGCCACGAAGGTGCAAGGCCGAAGCCCAGAGCATTGAAGTCCCCTGCCGACGGGGGCCTGGCGAACATGGCTGGCCCGGGCAGGGAGCAATAAGCCTCCGCAGAAACTGAGCTTCCTCCAGTGAAAGTATTCGCGTACGGCCGCCCTCTGCGATGAGCTGCGGTACTCACCGTAGACACATACAGTCGTCCTCTGTGTTGAGCTGCGGTCCTGGAGCGCGCTCTCTGCTCCCTAGGGAGTGAGTGTAGCGACCAGATGTGCCCTCTGCTCTCCAGTGGAGAGTGAGTCTGGCCGAGGTACTGGAACGTGCTCTCTGCTCCTGACGGGGTGAGTGTAGCATCCTGATGTGCCCTCTGCTCCCACGAGAGGGAGTGAGTCTGGCCGGAGTACTCGAACGCGCTCTCTGCTCCACAAGGAGTGAGTGTAGCGGCCAGATGCGCCCTCTGCCCTTGGCCAGAGCAAAGAGGGCCGATGCGGCTTGTCCCTGCCTGGCCAGCCCCAGCAGCCCCAGCAGCTTTGCCACCACCAAGGACTTCAGGCTTGGGCTTGAGATTCGTGAGCTTTTGGGGCGCCTCCTTCGCCTGCTTGGCCTCCTCGGTGGGCTCGCCTTCGGACGGGTTGAGTACTTTGCTAAGCAATGTCGCCAAGGTGTCGAGGCCTGCCCAGAGCTCAGCGGGGATGGCCTGAGCCACCGTTGGCCCTGTGCCCAACTTCTGGGTTGCTTCTCGTTTGGCGTTATCGAGCTCCTTTCGTGCTTGATCCAGAAGGTCTTCGGACTCCAAGGCTGCCGCTGCTGCCTCTGCTGCTGCTGCCCTGGCCGTCTCAGCTCGCTGCTCTGCCTGAAGAACTTTGATCTGGGCTGACCGAACTTGAGGGGGAACATCCTTGTTCTGAGACGGGTCCTGCATTCCCGCTGCTCGCAAACGACGGCGGTATGCAACTTTGTCTCGCTGGCTCTGGGTGAGGGACGTGCTTCCGATCTGCCATTTCTCTTCTGGCATCTCCACCCAAAACTCCATCAGCTGCTCGGAAAGGGGGGGAGACTGCCCTCCTCCTCCTTTACCTCCTCCTTTGTTGCCACCCTGCTTGTCCCAGCCCTTGCCGCCTGTTCCTCCTGGTCCTGGTCCTGGTCCTCGAACGGGGTCACGGTAGGCCCAGGGTGGGAGGACTTGCTGGGGCTTGGCCTGGCGGCGACGACCTGCGACGAGAGTCCAAGCTCCTTGCGGGGGCTGTGGGTCCACGTACGACGGGCCTGGTCCATCGGGTCGATAGGAGCCGCAGCTGAAGCTCTTTGCTTTGGCGCCACGGTTCCACACATTGCAGCCTCTGCATCCCCAGCCCACCATGCGCGCTGGAGGGGAGGCAGAGCTAACTGACTTGGGAAAGGTATGATTGCGGGTGAGGTCACGAACCTCTGGCCACGAAATTCTCGTAGGGATGCTGCAAAAACAAACAAGCCTCAATCTCTCGAGCGAGGTTGGAAGTTCAGGAGTAGGCCCCTTGAGCCAAAATGGCTACGGTCCTCCTCCTCCTCCTCCTCCTCCTCCTCCTCCTCCTCCTCCTCCTCCTCCTGTCTCGCTAGAGGGTCCCAAAACCGTGACAGACCCAGCGGTGGCCTCCAAATCTCCCAGAGACCTCACCGCAGGGCCCGTCGCCGCACGGCTTCTTGGGACCCCTGAAAGCCCTGGCCGCCTGAGACAGCCTCGGGGCACGACCCCGGTCCCAAAACCGTGCGGTGACCCCGAAGCCCCACCGACTCATCGCGCGGTGCGGTCACCAGGAAGAGGAGGAGGAGGAGGAGGAGGAGGAGGAGGAGGAGGAGGAGGAGGAGGAGGAGGAGGAGGAGGGGGGAGGAGGAGGAGGAGGAGGAGGAGGAGGGAGAGGAGGAAGAAGAGGAAGAGGAGGAGGAGGAGAAAGAGGAGGAGGAAGAGGAGGAAGAGGAGGAGGAACCTCGTCTGGGTGCCCCCGACCCGCCCGCCCCCCCGGTCACGCTGGCACGCTGGGGAACAAAACAAATGTCGAGCTGGCACGACGCAGACCCCTCCTGGGGGACAAACGGGGCCTTGGACCCTGGGGGGGCGCCCTCGAAGGAGCCAAAGGAGGCGGCTGCTGGCAATCTTGTCGAGGTCTGCGGCAGGGCCCGAGGGGTTGAGATCTCTCCAAAACCTACCCAGAGAAGCGATGTCGTGATTTTTTCAGTGCGGGGTACCGGGAAGTCCCGACCCTTTCCCCAGGGCCGGTTTTTCATCCTGAGTCGTTGTTTGAGGGTCCCGAGGCCCGGCGAGGGCCCCCGAGGGCCGACAATAGCAAAAAACATCCGTCTTGATGTTTCAATGCGTTGGACCTCTGGGTAGAAGGGAAGACACTCTCGACCATGAGAGGGGGGCGACGCTGCATGAGCGAAAGGGAGCCGCGACGCGCCGAGCCCTCGCGGGCAGGGCCCCAAGGAGCCCGAGAACGGGCCAGGGCGGCCGAGGACCCGCCCCAAACATGCGACGCCCTGATCTTCTCAGAGCGGCGCCCGGGAAGCCCCTCCCTCCCTCCCTCCCTCCCTCCCCCCCTCCCTCCCTCCCTCCCTCCCTTCCTCCCCCCCCTTCCTCCCCCCCTCGCTCCCTCCTCCCTCCCTCCTCCTTCCCCCCCTCCCCTCCCTCCCTCCCTCCCCCCATCCCTCCTCCCCCTCCCTCCCTCCTCCCTCCTTTCCTCCCCCCCCCTCGCTCCCTCCTCCCCTCCCTCCCTCCCCCCCCCTCCCCCCTCCCTCCCTGGGGGCGGGTTCTTCATCCTGAGCCGTCTTGTTGACGCTCTCGGGGCCTGGCGAGGGCCCCGCGGGGGCCCGAAAACAGCGAAAAACGTGCCGTCCTGATTTTTTACGACGCGATCATGTCTGGGCCCAGTGGGCCTCCTCAGTGTGCAGTCGGCGGCGTACCGCCTGCGCTCGGTGAACCGGCGGTCTGCAGCGACTGTGCTGGACAGAGGAGCAGGGCCGCAGCAGCCGAGAGGGAACGGGGAAGGACCCCCACCTGGGCGGCCTGGAGCCGAGGTTGGGCGCTGGGGGGGGCAGAAGAGCGGCAGGAACAGAGGACAAAAAACCCATCCCCAGAATAACCACCCCGACAAGGAAGGCCGTTTAGTAAACGCACCCAAAGAAGGAATCGAACAGGGCAGCGCTGCTTAGCGAACGCCCAAGGCCGTTTAGTAAACGCCATTTATCGGGTCCGGGTGATTTTTTCTTCCTTCGAAGGAAGAAGAAAAAACACCCCACCTTCTCGCTGCATGATCCGAACCCGATCGATATGCGATGGTCCCCCGGTCCAGAACCGGGTGAAAACGCCGAGAACGACAAAACTTGCAGCGCCCCTCGACCCCTCCCCCTCAGTACTGGCCCCAATCACGAAACGCCCGAGACAGAGGAGCCACAAAAACCGCAAAAGCTGAAAATTTTCGGAGGTCCGGGCGGATCTCTTTGCTCCGCGTTGGGCCCCAGTCCCTGGCGCGCGGAGGCCGCCAGGGATTGGGGTCAGAGGCGCCGCCACGGGACTCCAGCCCAGATTCAAGAAGTCCGCGCGCAGCTCCGAAGAATCATGTTCATGCCGCTCGTTGTGCTTTGCCGGGAAAAGCCGGCGAGGGCCCGGCGGGGCCTCCTCGCAGTCGTCGTCGTCGTCCTCGCCCCCGATGTAGAACGCCTCGGGCGCCCCCGCTGGCGACTGGGCCGCAGCGGGCGCGGACGGCGCCGCATCAGCGGTGGCCTCTCCGGGGTGGAGGGCGCCGCTGCCGCCGTCGCCGCCGCAGGGGCGTGGGAGGCCATCCCTTGCGGGCCCCTGGAGGCAATCGGAGACGTCCTGCCTCTCATGCCTGCATCCCTGAAGCTGCAACTGCAAATGCCTCCTCCTCCTCCTCCTCCTCCTCCTAGCCCTTTCGCTCAGCTTGGAGCTGGGGTCGCGCGGCGCACTTCGGAGGGGCGCCTGCCGCGCGGGGCCATGGCGGCCATCGAGGCATGAGGCTCCACGTGGCGAGCTCACTCTTCGTCGAGGACGGCATTGGCCAGATCCTCGGCTGTCTCGAGCAGCAGTACGTGGAGGCGGGAGGCCAGTCAGAGCTCGTCGTGGTCTTCGACTGCGATGGAGTTCGCGGCGTGTCGCAATCGTGCCCAGCAGACGCGTCGCGAGGAGACGACGGCCTCGCCAGCGAAAGCCATGCCGCTGGCGCCAGCGAAGGCCAGGCCTCCGGCACCGAGGGCCCGTCGGGTGCCCTGGCAAAGGGCCTTTCAGCCGGAGGACGTGAAGGCCTACGAGGCGAAGAGACTGCAGGTGTTCCTGGCCAGGGAGCGCTTCATGGCCGACAAGCTGGCTGGCAAGCACCAGGAGGAGAAGAAGGAGATCTCTGGGGAGGCGGTGCACATCAAGATATGGCAGTGCCCAAGCTGTGGAGCGAAGAACTTCGGCTTCAGGGAGAGTTGCATGTACAAGGATTGCAACCACAAGGCGCCCGAGACCACGCTGCAGCTGCAGAGGCTCCAGAAGCTGCAGGAGGTGAAGGTCCACTCGGACACGTCCTACATGACCCTGGGGGAGCTGGACGCGGCGCTTCGCTCTCGCGGGCTAGTAAGCATGGACGAGGAGTTCGACAGGTTGCAAAAGGAAGCAGCGGCATACGCATGGTCGGAGTGGGGGATCGATCTCGTGCTCTCCTCGGCGGAGTGCCACCCGAAGGAGATGACGGAGAAGGAGAGCCCCGTGCAGGAGGAGACGGAGGAGGAGAAGCAGCCGCCCAAGAAGAAGAACCGCTGGAGCAAGCACCACACCCCATCAGCCTGAACGTGCAGGCCGACACCGAGGACTACCAGAGCCTGGACAGGACGTTCGCGGAATGGCGTCGCGTGGCAGCTGGAGTAGGCGAAGACTGGCAGTCAGAAGAGGACGATGGTAGCGCAGCTGTGCACGCAGATGGCGGGTAAGGTGGAGTAAGCGTTCGTCAATCGCATGCTGTGCAGTTTGTCACGGACGTGGGGCAGAAGGACCTCAGGCCGAATCCTGGGGAAGGTGGTGCCAAGCCGATCGATAGCGATAGTGGCACGGGCTTGCCGTCGATCCCGAGCTTCCCGCAGCTCGCGATGCCAGAGGTGTTCGACATCGCCGACGGCGACGACGAGGAGTGGGCCGAGAAGGGCGAGGAATGCTCCGTGGCCTGCTCAGACTTGGGGGTCTCTGGCATAGAAGAGTTGCTAGGCTTCGGGGGGGTAGACGTGCAGGCCCTGCAGCTGGCCGACGAGCAGCCAGACGACAAGCAGCAAGAGGACAAGCATAATGAGGTCAAGCAGTACGAGGACAGCCAGAAGGAGGACGACGATGGTAGGGAGACCAGTGCGCCCCTACCTCAGCCCATGGGGGCCAGCTCTGCCCAGGTGGAGGAGGATGAGGTCTGCCCCACCACGGACGAGGAGTTCCAGGCGCTGGCCGACCTGTACCTCGAGGGCGTCGAGCGCGACGGGAGCGAGCTCAGGGCTCGCTTCCAGACGCTTTGCGAGCGCCTCGGCATCAAGAACGACTTCGAGGCAGTAATCCCGGTCTTCTGCAACTACCTCGAGGCATAGGAGGTCGCCGACACCTACCAGAAGAGCCGCCTCCTGTAGGCGCTTCAGGCCTCCTCGCGATGTGATAGTGATCTGAGCTGCTGCGCGCCTCGCCGCGGGCGGCGGTGGCGCAGTTAGGCGGTCGTTCGGCTGGTTGGCGTCTCCGCGGCTGGATCCGCCTCGTTTGGTTTTGGTTCTCGGGCCCTGACGTTCTCTCGTCGTCACGCTGGGCGCCCCTCGAAATCCTGGCTGGGCATCGGCTCAGCTCTCGGCTCCCTCAGTGGGGGCGACCGCCTCGGTAGCAGGGCCAGCTGGATCTGGCCGCATCATCAGCACCCTCAGCACCCTCCTCCTCCTCCTTCTCCTCCTCCTCCTCCTCCTCCTCCTCCTCCTCCTCCCCCCTCCCCCCCCCTCCTCCCCCTCCCCCTCCCCCTTCCCCTCCCCCTCCCCCTCCCCCTTCCCCCTCCCCCTCCCCCTTCCCCTCCCTCCCTCCTCCACAATTACTCAATATGAATACTACTCTCCCTCTTCCCCTGATGACGTCTTGGCCCCCGCGTACTGTTTTTTATATACAGGTTTCCCCGGAGTTGGGTTTTCGCCTGCATTTTTTCAAAATGCTGCTCTCGCTGAGGCGCCGGCCTCATTTTCGGGCCCCGCTCGTTCCGAATCGTGCTCCCGCTGCAGCGTGGGTCTCATTTTCGGATCGGTGTTTTGCCTCCGTCGTTCAGGATGGCGTTCTCGCCCCAGCGCGGGCCTCTTTCTCGCGCGCCCATCCGCCCGCCACCACCGCACCGCGCCCCGCCCCGCCCACCGCCACTTCCACCCACCAACGCACGCACGCACGCACGCACGCGCACCGCCACCACCACCCCACTACCCCACCCACCACCACCACGCTACACCGCGTCACACCACATCACACGCGCGCGCACACAGACACACACGCACGCACGCACACACACACATACACGCACACACACACACGCACACACACACCACCACCACCACCGCCACCACCACCATCGCCATCACGCACGCACGCATCTGGCCCACCACCAAACCACCAAGACGCCACACCACGTCACACCACAGCACACGCGGACACGCACACACACACACCACCACCACCACCACCACCACCACCACCACCACCACCACCACCACCACCACCACCACCACCACCACCACCACCACCACCACCCCACCACCACCACCAGCACCAGCACCAGCACCAGCAC